CTTCGCGGTAGCTACCTTCCACATTCACATATTGCCAGCCCACACGCACATCCTCAAAATCCTTATTTTCATCCAACCCACATTCAAAATCAATACAACACACCAGCGGGGGCGGTTCTTCGTCCTCTTCTTTTTGACTTTTTTCCGCGGCTTCCGCTTCAACCATGTCTTCCAGAATCGCACGGTCTTCCTCGTTTAAATCGTCCACCTGGTCAAGAAGATTGCTGAACTCCATTCCAAGCGGTTGAATGTAACACTGGTGGTTCGGCAAAACTTTCTCTCGGCAGTTAGGACATCGGTATTCTCCGCACACATGCTTCTTTTTCTTGGAAAACTTATAGACTTTACAACACTCCGGACACTTTTTGAATAAACGACATAGTTTTTTCTTGTGAGCGGTAAAACAGTTTTGCCCGTGAAAAGACTGACCGCAATCATTGCAGTAGACGTTAGCAGACTTTTTTTTCTTGAAAATCACGGCATTCGCCGTTTTTTCTTCGACATTTGTCACAGTTTTGACGAGAACAATTATGATGTTTTGCATCTTCATGATCGTAACCTTTGTTACATTGATGACAGTAATAACTCTTGTTTAGGAGGGCTGGCACACTTTGTAATCCGTGAAAATGTTGTTCTACTTTGAGCAGGCACAGTTTTTTAGGTGCTGAATCAAACGACGGGTCACAATACCAGAGTGCCCCATAGACTCCTTCAAAGATTTTAATCTGGTATCCTTGAGGACCAAAATGATCTTGCATTCTCTGAATTTCGGGTAAACCGCACAGTCCTTCAGGAACCCCGGTTTCTTGATGCAGTTTGTAGGTAAGATGACCCTGCATTCCACGTCCTCTAGAAATATTTTGATACTGAGGGTCTTGGTCGACAAAGGCTTTGGTGCAAACCAAGGCTCGCGCGAAACACAGTTCATCTTTGTTTTTAATCGTGATCACAGATCTCTTTTTCAGTAACTGCTCAAACGACTTGTTACCAGGCTTGTTTTTGGCTGGTCTTCCGCCACGCTGATGCGTCCTAAAAAAAGACAGTTCGGCGTAAAAATCCCCGCTCGCAGCATCGAAACTTTCCGCCGAGTTAAGCTGTTTAGCCAGTCTTTCTAGCCATTGCCGAGTCAGTGGCGATCCTTGAATCCACTCACTCAGTGGAACTCTCGGACAGCTGGTCCAAGTGTGGGTCCCTGTACTATGGTGAATAGCCATGAACATGGAATACTCGTCAAAGTTGACAATACCATTGCGAGGATCGCGGATAAAATTAATCAAACCTTGGTGGAAGGCTTCCGCTACCGCTTCACCCTGGTATTCCCCATTCGGCGGACGTAACTGTTCCAGCGAAAATCGGACTTGCATTTGAATGGCTACACCGCGGTGAAAAGAGCGCGGTGCTCTCACTCGCTCCATGTTAACAGCAAACAAGGGATTCCCTCCTTGCTGGTCTGCTCGGCGCGCCACGATAAGCAGATCGCTTTCGTCCTCCGAGTCAATTAACTCTTCCCCTTGACTAGCGGTCCAGTCTGGAATTTCTTCCAACAAGGAATCGAGTCCATCCTCCATAAGCGCGCGAATGTATGGATCCATCGTTTTCAAAAAGTTTCGCAAAAAGCTCCGCTCAGTAAGACAGTAAAAACTGAATGACGCTTTCAGAGACGCAGTTTAGTTAAATTAGCTGTGGAGCGCGTGCTTCGAGTTTCATTAAGTCATAATGGACAAAGAACGTTCAAGGCTGCCCAAGATTGCCTAATGACTTATTTTGACTGAGTCAGCTACTTTTGTTCTTTTTCTAATTAATTTTTTACCACTCTATAATGAATCTTTGTTCTTTTTCTAATTAATTTTTTAACTGATTCAGCTATAATCTTTGTTCTTTTTTTCCCTGAGCGTTAATTTGACAATCTCAGTTCATTCAGTTCTAAGAAATCCCCTCCCTGCCTGAGCGTTGACAATCTCAGTTCATTTCTTTTTTCCCAAAGACACAAGTAAATTACACGCAAACTTAACTTTATTTACATTTTTACCTTCCTTCGGTAAAACGGTACAATCACTTTCTTAGTCAATGCAATGAGAGGAACGTGTTTTAACCGCTAGTCGGTTAAAGTCCTTTTCAAAGCACTTTTTTCTTATTTACAAACTGGAACATATCAGATCCCTAATGAATCTGGTCCATTATAAAAAATTGACATGGTAATCTCGAAAGAACCAGGGAAATTCTAACTTTAAGTGTGCGTAGGTTAGCTCAAAACGTTCAATCATTGTTTCAATAGCAGGAAAAAAAGGATTGTCCACAAGCTTTACATCATCGATCGTTACATTTAAAATCAGTGGTCTGCCTATTGATTTCGATCCACTCTGTAAAAGGATTTAGCGGCGAAAAACGGATATCTTGCATCACTTTTCTAAAAAAGACCCAAAGATTGGATTACTCTGTGTTCAAGTGCCTGACGTCTTCTTAAAATTCCTGTACCCCTGTATAGCTTAAAGATTTTTCGCCGTTCATGTTCAAAATTAACTCGTTCGTATCGGTCATATTTCATTTGACGGGTTACCGTCAAACAATCAACTCCAATTCTAAAACACTGAGAACAAAATCCTTCATGAAACGAAAGCCATTGGGTCGATCTACAGAAATGACGCTTCTTGATTTGTCGCAAACATTTGCTAAACAGAAAATAAAAACAACAACTTACTCAAATTCTAACCCTAAACGTCTACGAATTGGCGTATAGTAAAAACGCCGAATTAAACGTGCCTCTTCATTTTTATCTACAAATTTCTTTTGCCTTTGCAAACGTAAACCATCTAAAGTTAACTGTGTTGACCTAATTCTTTTACATTGAGAACACAAAAGTTTCTCCGCATTGACGGGAATCCATTCTGTTTTATGACAATACATGGCCCATCTTCGCTGTTTCAACTGATTCAAACAATTTCTAAAATAAAACATCAACAAGCGCGTTCAAAAACACGTTTTTACAGTTCAATCATATAACATTTCGTCTTCACACTAAGCCAAATGCAATCTTTTATCCAAACCAGGGATTCCAGAATAGGTCTAAAACAAAACAGGGACTAAAGTAAATCGTCGATTTGTTTCCACAATCGATTTAAAAACGTAACATCACTCGGGTAAATGTCTGAGTTTAAAAACAAGGCTTGGATAAAACACAAATCAGCGTAGACAAACCTGAAATTGACGCGGTGTTGTTGTCTATACTTATTTCTGTCTTCAATGTACTGCCGGGCTTGAAGTTCTTTGGCAATCGGATGACAAGGGACCAGAAACGTCTCAGCCATTAAACCCTTGTTAGGGACAGCTTCCAAGGCAAGTTCATGCAAAGTCTTCATCTTTGAGCAATTGGATATCTTGACACTGGGATGAGCAGAGCAAAATGACTTTTCCAAATTCACTCTACCTTTATGCTATTCAAGTGAGATTCACGCTGATTGGTGCGGGGACAATTAAAGTGGAGCGGTAAAAAACCATTTAATTTTTCGTCGTTCTTTTAAGTTTTTGAACCTTCTCGGCAAAAAGTTCGCTGCTCTTTTTAGTTGAACGGCGGGCGGCAAAAACAATAACCCTTTTCGCTCTTTTTCAAGTTTGAGTCTTTTGTGTTGCAATCTGTTTTAAGATGAACCAGAAAAAACTTTATTTTCAACCATGGCTTTGCCATTTGAAACGGAGGGAACGTTCCTGACACAAGAGCAAGCAGATCATATCAACGAGAGGCATGTATCAAAAGACCAAAATGTAAAGGCGTCGAAGTTTGACTCACAAATTGATTTAGTCGATTTGTTACAGACTGTATCGGAACTGACCTGGGAACAGGAGAGCGAAGACGTCTCAGTCATACGTGAAGGATGGAATGAATATCATGGACACTTCTATTTGTTTGTGTTTAATATAAACCAGCAAATTGGTGTTGATCCTGAGGGCTTTCCTGCTAAACACATTGCCCTCTACTATTCGGAGAAAGTACCAGGCGAGAAATGGCAAATCATCTCAGCCTACCCATTTAACTGGGCGTTCTATTCACAATTCCTAAGTAGGAAGAACAGATCCCACTAATTGTCTTATGACAAAAACGGTTCTTTTAGGAACCACCACATCAATAAAAGTCATGACCAATATTCAGAAAGACTTCTTTATTTTGTAGTCAACTTTCGACGGGAACGGGCTTAGCGCAACGCGTTAAGTCTTAGTACTGACGCCAGGTAACTTTAGTTTAAGCTTACAGGTTCAAATCTTTCTTTCTTTCAGGTCTTCTTTTTTCTCTAAGACTCTACGAGTTTTCATGCAAATTCCAAGCGAACATGAATTAACATACAAAACCATTCACTGGAACGCGTTAACTAGACACACACATTCTAGGTGTTCGAGTTTCATCATAAATGATTCGTGGAAATTATCTAAATTATCCACGGATAAGATCATTTGTTCCAGAATCCTCTCCTTCAGTCTGTATCTTGCTTCGCTTTCGGCTAGGTTCCGATAAACCCTTACGTCTTTTTCGTCGCGCGACATGATTAAACTGTCAACAATTGGTGATTCCCTGATCTTTAGAACGTTTTTGCTCTCGGGCGCCATCTTGAATTTTTAATTTGATTGACAACTGAGAACAATAGCCTAAAACAATAGGCGGCGGCGGCATCCTTTGAGACCACTACTGACGCCTACCACTACTATCACAAACGACCCGGACGACTGAGACGACCTCGATCGCTTGGATAGAGTTGAGTTCTATCCAGACGATCGGTACGATCATGTAAATTTTGAAGCGATCATATGGAAACGCTCTCAGACGACTGAGACGATCGGGACGATCGAAGGCTATCCCAGAAGTCATCACTCTTATCCCAAATTTCCTAGCTCACGTGCTCCGTTTCAAAATGGCGACAGAAAACACTGAGTTAAACAAGTCGCTCTTTATGGAAGAAGAGAAAAATATCCTGCAATTTACAACAAATTTTCTAAGGACTATAAGAATAATTTTATAAGAATGAATATCTGGAAAGCAATAGGAGAGAAATTCGGCTTGGACGCGGCTGAAGCAGACGAAAAAAAAAAATAAAAGAATGCCCTAACCGCGTATGGGTGATACTTGAGAAAAAAAAGTCTGTTCCATCTGGCTCTGGGCGTGATGCTGTCCCCTCTCCAGCAGAGTTCAGTGATTTGGATTGGATGTCAAACCACATCAACAACGACCATCCACTGTTACAAACGTGCAGAGTCGCGATGAAAGCGAAGATGATGCTGAATGGTGAAGAAGCAGAAAGCGCAAACAATGTCGAGAGAGTATGGTAAGCTCCTAATTCCTCTCGCCTCTTCTATATCTGTCGAACCCAAAACCTGTGTCTTCGTGGGATTCTTCGAGCTCTTCTACGGCGCAAAATCGAAAGAATAAGAAGATAACAGGCAAGGAGACTCGCTCTGCGATTGACGTCCGCCATTTCGTTTCCGAATATCGCGCCAAAATTCTGTTGTCGGACCCAGGAACATCGCTGACGACGGCGCGTCTTCAGTCTTTGAAGCGATCGAGACGATCGTATGGAAACTAGCAATCGTCTCAGTCGTCCCGATCGTCTCGAAATTTTTGAAAACGACCGGGACGATCGTATAGAAACCAGGCTTTTAAGGGTAACAATGAGTGATGCATAATTTTATTGCAATTCTATTTTTATCTGCGTCCTCCACATTCGATGAAATAGGGAGATAGTTTTACACCTCTAGTGTTGGATACTGAGGATCCTGAGGATAAAGATTAATGTTAGTATTATTAACTGAGGAGGAAAAATTAAAGACCCCTCTTCTCTATACTGAACATTGTAAACACACCAAAAAGACATCATCATGTGCTTGGTTAAATAAATAAAGAATAGAACATGACTACAAGGTTAAACATAAGTGGGCTGTTGCATTTAATATCCGTACCCCCCTCCCCGGTTGAGGACTTACCTTTTCTTCTTAATCTTGCAAATATAAATATGACTATTAACTTTGACATATTAAAGAACGACCTGCTTAAGAGTTAAAAATTTGAATCACCTCACAATGTTTTCTGACGATTCCCCAGCGGTATGGCGCGAACCATGTAAAAATTATGGGAATTACCCCAGACGACTCCAGAAATCTTATCTACACTCAGTCCTTTCGTTGCCATTACCCTTACAAGTGACAAAACGTATCACATTATTTCCCTTGTCTTATATTTTGAAGCCAGTGCATGGGTATTTTTTTCAGAGGATATTTTTGTGACAAATTTGTTTTCTTGGACTTAACCCTCTCCCGGCAAATACCTTTTCTAATGGTCTAATCCCTCAGAGTTAGTTTTTGAATGAGTCTCTACGAACACGAAAAATCGAGTCTCGTTTTGGGCCCTACGTTTTTGTGAAAAATCGAGTCTCGTTTTTTGCCCTACGGACCCCTACGTTTTCGAGAAAAGCAATAAAAAGGGGTGGTAGGCCTACACGACTTTTACCTCATGCCAAAATGCTGCTTATTCCAATAAAGTTGTTTTTATCTGCTGGGTAGATTATGTTCTGGAAGGTTCTGCATTTATACTGAGCAAATGTGATTTTAGCCGCATGATCCGCGGCGGATCACTCACCGTTTCTGGGAAACCAGTCTAGATAGCCTCGTAAAAAATCGCCTCGATAAAATGGCTACTCGATCTGCCACGAAGACGTGACTCGTTTAAAAAACAATCCTCCTTATTGAAACGAGGCTCGTTCAAAAAACGAGTCCTTCTGAAAACGAGACTCGTTTAAACGAGACTCGTTCTGCACATGAGACTCGTGGAAAAACGAGACTCCTTTGGAAAGACTCGTTTAACGAGACTCGTTTGGAAAGACTCGTTTAACTACTCGTTCGGAAAGCGAGACTCGTTAGGAAAACGTGGCTCGTTCGTGAAACCAGACTCGTTGCACCAGACTCGTTCGTGAAAGACTCGTTCGTGAGGGGAGGCTAGTTAATCAATTAATTAATTTACCCTTTTTATTTCACTGTAAATGGTAAAGTAATGTAATTATCAAGAAAATTATTTTACTCGCAGTCCTGCGTTGACCAGAAACTCCGGCTTTGTATAGTCTTAACCTTGAAAAACTCAGATTAAGGACCATCAACTTCATATATTGTTGTTGCTGTATTTGTTGATGTCAATGTAGGCAGGGGGCAATGAATTCTTCTTTCATTTAGTGTGGAATGATTTATTTCAAATGTTTTCTTTTTTTCAGTATCTAACTAACAAATTGATAGGCCAAATATTACTAACGTAAATAATAAAGAGTATTGATGTCATTATTCTCGAGTTGTACCTTTTGTGTACTTAACAATCAGTTTAATTTCTACCACCACTATCTGTTTCATCCACAGAAATATTTTTTTACGAACAATAACCAACAAATATGTTTTTTTTTTCAGTATCTAACTTACAAATTGATTGGCCAAATATTACTATCGTAAATAATAAAGAGTATTGATGTAATTATTCTCGAGTTGTACCTTTTGTCTACTTAAAAATCAGTTTAATTTCTATTACCACTATCTGTTTCATGCTCGGAATTTTTTTTTTTTTATCAACAGTAACCAACAAATAGGTTGCTCATAAGGTATAATAAAGCGCTTCTACCATTCTATCATTCTATCTAGAATACACAACACGATCTATAATTGATGAAGAACACGATGTCAATGATTAGAATAAATGCAAAAATTGCCAATCGAAATATTGAGTCTGAAAATAACACAAACGTCTAAAAGGTAGATAGCGCCACTGAAAACAACATTATTCACGGCTAGAAATGATACTATCTATTAAAAATGATTTGTTCCACCATTTGCGCTCGACGGTATATATTTTGTCTATTCAAAAAATGCAGGGTTAAGTTTTTTTTAAAATTATTCACAATACACTACAATCTGCGACAAAATTCGTTGAGCCGCTTTTTTCTGTCGCACTTAAAAATGAACTTAAAAATCTACCACACCTCGAAACACAATACCACTGTAACCCTATACCCTTTCCCGCATTCAGACTCATTTATCAGGGGGGGATTGGTCAAAGTAAGGGAATCGGGGCTAAAACTATTCAGAAATGTTGTACTCTTAATGACAATGCTTTGGCTACTGTGTCGCAGAGTGTAGGCCGATCTTTAGTTCAGACAATATTCCGTTCTACGTTATCCTCAGGAAAATTCACTCGTTATTCTATTTTAAAACATATATTATAAATGATTAAAAACTTTATTTCAATCTCCCCCTCCACATCGACCCAACGGTTTACTTGTGAAAGGTTACACCCCCACATCGATCCCTCTCTCATTCTTGTGGGTGGTAGCTTTTTGATGGTTTCGTTTTCCTTTCCTGGAGAAATCACCATCCTATGAAGATAAAAACCAAAAGGTTATGAATTGCCATTAATCTTCTATGTGTTATATCGCATGTATACCTGTTTACTTCGTATCAGTAATATCCGTTCTTGACAAGTCGTGTCAAACGAGCTATTGCCCTCGCGTCATTTTAAATGGATTTTAACTGATCATTATTGGTATAAGCTCATCATAAGAACAAAACCCTTCCTCGACAATTTTCATTACCTGACTCCAATCTACTTTCTGACTTTTTGGGGGGCCTAAGAGGTCTGTCAGGTGCTGTCCATTCGCATGAAAAAAATTTACACGCCAATATTTCACACCAGCTCCTCTCACCTTATCTCTACTGAAACGGGAGATGCGGCAGAAACCAGCTGTAAAAACAAATCCAAGTTTTTTGTGAATACTGCCCTCCAAGTGTATCCGTGGGATTTAATCTCGCCACTCGTGAGAGGTCGTTCTTCTGTCACGGTGGCGAGAGAGGCAGGAAGGTCGTAAATTCTCCAGGAGAATGACACAACCATATCTTCCTTTTCTTCCACTTGTTCCATCACAGTTTCCTGTAGGAGAATTTACAGTACAACTCAGTGTCTTTTCTCCTCTTTTTATTTTTTGGTTGTTGTCATTGCTTTAAACATTACAGTGGAATCCCGCTCTACGGGCGCCCGCTTAACACGGACACCCCGATATTAGAGACCATTTCGTTTGTCCCGTCGAAAAGTTCATATTGTCGCCATAAAATTAACCCTCTTATAAGTTACTGTAATTTTAGTCCGTGAACATAGAGTTATTAGATGAACGTACGGTTTCCATAGATTCAACTCGTCAGTTGCAGTTACAATTAGGTATAAAGTTATCCTAGAGTATGATAAATAGCCGTCAGGTTTCCATAGCCTAAAATAATGTCACAGTCAAAGTACAATTTTTAAACGTCTTGTTGCCGTTAAAATGTCTGCTCTACCCCTTTTTCATTTGAGAGCCTTCTGGCCACCCTGATATTACGGACACTTCGGTATGTCCCCTTGGTGTCAGTATTAACGGTGTTCCATCGTATTTTTTTATCGATATCAGTTGAGATACTTACCTTTCTTTGTATTAGGCCCAATAACCGCTGTATCTCACCATGCTGTAAGTCATAGTGTGATCTCGCCGCATCGTACACGTGAGCACCCATGTCCCTCCTGTGTTTTATTTGTTAACAGCCTCTCACTTTGCACTGTAAGGCCTTCAATGGGCAATTGTGCTGGTGCAAACACACATGGGCTCTGAAAAACATTATCAACAGTCACTAATTATTTTGGGTTATACGAACTTTAAGACTAATTAATTAAACCATTCGGAGCTTTGCAGCCCGTATTACTTATTGCTACTGGTCCAAGAAAGTATGACCGTACTTCACTCTCGCTTCAGCCGGTTCACTGCCTATAAGTGTGCTGTATGCTGTATTATTGTACTTTTGTCCTTGTACTTCATGCCCGAAAAATCCCATTGGAGAGGTGTTAATGGGTTTATTTCTCAGTATTGAGTCACAAATTCTGTTAGCTCAGACGTTGTAATCAATGTACAAAGATTCCTGTAACAGATGCGTCTCATTCTCGCCTGAGGAAATTCTAAAAGGAATTCTTTGAATTTTTTTGACTAGTTTTTAGAAAAAGACCACGGTGTTGTGAACTGTCAAGATGTGCAGATCGTGCAAAAGTTCAGTTCAAGCTTTACCATGGTCATTTGGTTAATTGTAAGGGTCTTACCTCGGCAATTTCATGCCACATCCGAGTGGGCAGTCTATTTTTGAATAGAAACACTCCCTCCTTTCGTGTTGGGCTAAACGACTTCTCGCTACTTCCTTCCTGCAGCCAGAGCAATCTACTACAGCCTTTTCGCAGCTATTGCTGTGCTCGTCCATGTCCTCGCGCAAGGAAGAGTGGTGGCATCCAACGTTAGGGCATTTTACGACAGCTTTGGGACAGCCCTTGCCATGGTCCCTTGCTTGTTCCAGAGTGCCTTTCATATGCAACCAGAATTGCTACAATGCATACCCAGATTTCTTGTTAGTGCGTCAAGGCTGACGTTCAGATGCAATCGATCGCGATGGAAAGTTTCGCGGCAAACGGGGCACGGAGCTGTGTTTGATGCCGCGTTGTCGGAGAGAGAGACGATAGAGTGCAAGCACTTCGTGCACCCAGAATGTCCACATGCCAGACTAACTGGTTTTATCATCACTTCAAAGCTACAATTAATACAGATTCAATGATTATTAGTATCACGGCGCGTAGTGTATCCTTTTTCAGATAAAATAAGACTTCTGGCCGAAATTATTATCTTTTACTGGCGTCCACGGCCATTTTTTCTTCGTTTCAGCTGCAGCTTGTATTCCTATAATCGCAAAAACAAATTTTCTAATCAACGTCGGAAGATAAATTTGGTAAATGAACCTAATTGTTGGGTGGGCGGGGTGCGACGAACGACACGAAGAACGGTTGTGAAGCTGACTAAGTATTGCCGACGCGAACTTTTATTGTTCGGAGCATGAAAATGAAACGCTCTAGACAGTTGGAAAACACTTCCATGATGTGAAACCGTTTATTTCGTATGAAATCTTGCTTTTCTCGATCTTTTTTCGTCTTTGTAGTAATACAGTAACACAATAAGTCTACGCAGATTTATAATCAATGCCACTCACCCCCACCCCCTAACATTTAACAGCTCTGAAATCGATCATATTTTTAGAACCCTATCATTTTGTCTATTATTTCTATATTTTACTTTATATTTTCTTTTTTTTTTTTTCTTTTAAAAAAAGTTCATTAAAAAAGGGAAAAAATTATATCCACGACCCTCTACCTGAAACCCTCGCCCTCGATATGGAACCCTCGACCCTCGACGAAAAAATAATCTATCCGGTGTACCAAAGGATTCGTTTTTAGATTATTCAAGGCTTCTTGTCAGGATCAAGCTCTCTTTGGCTTAGCATCAAAGTAGAGGCAATGAAAAGAATATGACAAAACACCTTCAGAGGGCGACTTTTGTTAATTTTTTTTTTTCCAGTGAACGGAAGGTCAGTCAAAAAAAAATCACTCATGTGTCCAAAACTAAAAGCAAAATATTGTAACGGTCGCATGTTATTTTGTATAAAATTTTTCCTTTAATGAAAGTTAATTTGACAGTTACGTGTCATAATCCTCGCTGTGTATGTACTCCCCAGTAAACTATTCCCGAGAAAGGAACTAATCCGGAAGCTCTCATTATGTGTTCCTCATTAGCATTTTGTTCTACATGTGATTTCGCGTCGACATCCTGTATCCGGCAGGACTTTTCCGCGGGTGGCGGGTGACGGGTGACGGGTAGCGGGTGGAGGGTGAGGGGTAGCGGGTGACGGGTGACGGGTGGCGGGTGGCGGGTTAAAAATATATATGAAAATAAAATATTATAACAAAATATTATTATTGATAATGATATAACTGTATGTTGTAATTTTGAAATTATTTCAACGTTTACGTACTAGTTACCAGACTCCAAATAAAAGTATTGTCTTGTTTTGTCTTATCTACTTTAATACGCGGACTAAAAATGGAAAAAAAAAACTTTAAAATTACAACATACAGTTATATCATTATCAATAATAATATTTTATTATAATATTTTATTTTCATATATATTTGAAACCCGCCACCCGTCACCCGCCACCCGCGGAAAAGTCCTGCCGTTTCCCGGACACTGACAGAAATTCTTTGGTCAGCCCAAAAAGTTATTACGTACGAGAGTGCCTTTAGTCATTGTACAACTTCAAAATTATTGCTTAAGATTTGCTTTAATCAAACGCATTTTGCCTGGACGAGCAGTATTTTTCCCGGGAGGCGCATCTGCTTACGGCTTTGTTACGTAATTTTAGAGGCGAGAATGTTCCGTTTCGCGGCACAATCATAATTTTTTCTACAGACGGAGCTTACCTTTTGAAGTCAACTTCTGCCAATTCGGGGAAATTCTCTTTTATTTTGTCCCTCATCTGACGTTCGGTGAATTTCTACCCGAACTCGATCTCCTTTACTCTTCCCTCGCGATTTAGTTCATCCCAAGGCCTTCCACGTGGGATTGCTTTAGGTAGACCCCTCAACCATACAAAGGTTCTCGACGATTTCGGTCCAGTTCGTGCAACAGAGGGAGATGCGGGTCTCTCGCTATCACTAAAGGAGCTAGATTCCGCCATACCTGAAAGGTAAACTGAAGCGTTCAAAGTGCGGAGCCTAACAGTCATATTATATTACAAGCTGAGAAGAACAATGACACTTCCGGCGTATGTGAACCGCCCTTCAGTAGTCAAAAGTAGTGTGTGTCCCAGATGTTGATAAACCTCCTTAAAGACAACGTACAATTGTATCTTTCACCAAATTTTTACGAAGTTGCAGTTCGACTTTCATTATATCTGTTCACTCTTTCTCTTTAATACAACTTTTTGACCAAAATGAACAAAACAATAGACGCTTATCAAGTGGTTAATATGTTACATAGCCTTCGCCTGGTCTCCGGGGAGGGGTCGGGTAGCTTGCTTCGAATGTTTCTGGCCGCGCGAGCAAAAGGTTCGAAGTAAAGGGATGGCGTTACCTCGTTTCCCCGCCAACACCCTTTTCCTTGGACCTTTTTACTCTCGCCCCGCTCGCGCGGACAGAAACATTCGAACCGGAAAGCTTTCTATGCAGGTTGAGATAGGTCTTACTGAGCTGGACAATTTTCCGAGAAAGAAAAAAAAATTCTGTCAGTAATAAATTAGAAACCCTGTCATTCCAGAGCTGAGAACTCTCCACAATTTTTAATCTACCACCAGAACTGTATGCAAACGTTCAGCCAACACAGTTCTGCAGCCTCGCGGGAGTGGAATAAACTTTCCTCGACTCTGCTCTTACTGTTCGTGTGGATCAAAATCGTCCGAGTTCGATTTGGGATTTGAGCATTTCATCATTATTCCGGTACGCACAGAAATATATATTAGTTTGGGTACTCCTCCTTTTTCCATCTTCCTTATTTTATTTTTTTATTTTTACTGGTAACAGTTTTTAAGACACTCTACATGATCCTCCACGAACTATGTCTCTCTTATAAGCATGCAGGGTGTGTTAAAAAAGGTAATGTTACCAGTAACTGAATAAAAAATAAAATAGTGAAAATGAAAAAAAGGAGGAGTACCCAAACTAATACGTATTTCTGTGGCAAACGCAGCACGTTGCTCAAAATGCATATAAGAAAGACATGTTCGTGGAGGAGCAACAGTGCGGCGTTTTTATACTAGTTTTAAAATGAGCTCGTTCCTCCCTCTCCCTCCTCATTCAGTGTTGTTGCTTTAACTTTGGTGATTGCTTGTAGAGGCAGAAAATTCCGGCAAAATCATTGATGAGAGGGGGAGGGGAGGAAGGGGGACGCATATTGGGAATTAACGCAAGTTACTCAACAGTTATGTCCGGGATTGTAGATAGGTAAGCAGGACATCTTAGCCCACCACAACCGACCCAGCATAACATAACGATATCAGAAGACGAGCCCAGAGTGTCGTCGCTTTTGAGCATCAAGTCCCTGTCCAGCCATCCTCCGTCTATTGACCCGATCAATAAGAAGACAGACAGACACCCTTTATTTCAGCACGATGTTAATAAACGCTATGCAGCTTATGAGGTCATGCATAAATACTAAACCTAAGAACGAAATATATGCATAATAACGTAACATAATAAAGTAACTATCTAAAAGTCAAATTTTTGAAAACAATGACTGAACTATAAATATATGTATACATATCCTAAAAATACTGAAATCTGTACGTCTAAAAATTATGTACTTGTGGAGGTCTCTTTGAAAGTCAACTCTTTAAAAATGCCATTGAAGGGGTTTTCCTCTTCGGGTTTTTATAACTTGTATTAGAAAAATTCTTGTCCTTAGAAATTAAAATATTCCATAGTACAGGGCCTCTATGAGCTATAGAGCGAATCGAGGAATTCTGGGTGGTGTAAAGTTTATGTACAGAAGAAGGAACAGGGGCACCCAACGGCAATTTTCGGGAAAATATCTGTTCGGAAGACGATTTGAGATCTAGAATTTTCGGAGCATTTGCTGTAAAATTTCTTGCTTGCCTGCCTCTCCTAGGATTTTCGAACATCTACAAAATGGTATAATTACCCATTTTTAACG